CACCAAGGCACATAATCATTACATTAGCCAAGATTAAAATGAAGGAGAGAATCCTAGAAGCAGCAAGAGCTAAGAGGACAGTCACCTACAAAGGAGTCCCCATCAGACTGTCAGCAGATTTCTCAAAAGAGACCTTACAGGCAAGAAGGGGCTGGAAAGAGGTATTCCAAGTCATGAAATCCAAAGACCTACAACCAAGATTGCTCTATCCAGCAAAACTTTCATTTAGAATGGAAGGACAGATAAGGTGCTTCTCAGATAAGATCAAATTCAAGGAGTTCATCATCACCAAGCCCTTATTATATGAAATGTTAAAGGGACTTATCTAAGAAAAAGAAGTTAAAGAAACATGAACAGTGAAAGGACAACAAACTCAGTTATTAACAACCACACCTAAAACGAAAGCAAACTAAAAGGACAGCTAGAGTCAGGAGTGGAAACATAGAAATGAAGATCTCAAGGAGGGTTAGCAACAGGGGAGTGGGAGGAGGAGAAGGGGGGAGAAGGTACAGAAAATAAGTAGCATAGACAGTAGATAGAAAATAGATGGGGGGGGCAAGAATAGCATGGAAAATATAAAATCTAAAGGAATTGAGACACATGGTCATAAACTAAAGGGGGGGTAATGGTGGGGATGGGGGGTAGGGTGGAGGGGAATGAAGGGGGGAATAGAACTGTAACAGCATAATCAATAAAAAAAATTTAAAAAAAAAAAAAAGAAAATGAAGGAGAGAATTCTAGAAGCAGCAAGAGCTAAGGGGACAGTCACCTACAAAGGAGTGCCCATCAGACTGTCAGCTGATTTCTCAAAAGAGACCTTGTAGGCAAGAAGGGGCTGGAAAGAAGTATTCCAAGTCATTAAATCCAAAGACCTATATCCAAGATTGCTCTATCCAGCAAAGCTTTCACTTAGAATGGAAGGGCAGATAAAGAGCTTCTCAGATAAGGTCAAGTTCAAAGAGTTCATTATCACCAAGCCCTTATTATATGAAATGTTAAAGGGACTTACCTAAGAAAAAGAAGATAAAAAACATGTATAGTGAAATGACAGCAAACTCAAATTATTAACAACCACACCTAAAACAAAAATGAAAACAAACTAAGCAAACCACTAGAGCAGGAACAGAACCACAGAAATGGAGATCACATGGAGAATTAGCAACAGGGGAGTGGGAGGAAGAGGGGGGAAAAGGTACAGAGAATAAGTAGCATAGATGGTGGGGAGAAAATAGACAGAGGCTCGGGCAAGAGTAGTATTGGAAATGTAGAAGCTAAAGAACTTATGACACATGGACATGAACTAAAGAGGGGGAATGTAGGTGGGAGGGGTGTGCAGGGTGGAGGAGAATGAAGGAGGGGAATGAGACAACTGTAATTAGCATAATCAATAAAATATATTTTAAAAAGAAATATAAATTGAACTATATAAATGAAAATGAAAGCAAAGAAAACCACTGAAAATGAAAAAACCTATTGAATAGGAGGAAATATTCACCAATTATACATACTATAAAGGGTCTATTTTCAAAATATTTAAGGAACTCATACAACTTAACCCTAAGAAGGCAAGCAATCTGATTTAAAAATCAGCAGAGAATATGAATAGTTATTTCTTCAAAGAGGACCAATAGACATGTGAAAAGATGCTCAATGTCACTAATCATCAGAGAGATGCAAATCAAAACCACAGTGAGGTATCACCGCACACCTGTCAGAGTGGCTGTCATCAATAAATCAACAAACAACAAGTGCTGGAGAGGATGTGGAGAAAAGGACACCCTTGTGCACTGTTGGTGGGAATGTACGACTGGTACAACCACTGTGGAAAACTGTATGGAATTTTTTCAAAAAATCTAAAAATGGAACTGCCTTTTGACCCAGCAATGCCACTTCTGGTTATATATCTCTGAAGGAATTCAAAACACTAATTTGAAAGAATATATGTACCCCTATATTCATTGCAGTGTTATTTACAACAGCCAAGATATGGGAGTCACCCAAGTACTCATGGATGGAGATTACTATGCTAAGTAAAATAAGTCAGAGAAAGACAAACACTACATAATTTCACTTATATGTGGAATTTAAAGAACAATATAAACAAATAACAGAGAGACTCATCGATACAGAGAACAGACTGATGGTCACAAGGGGGGCAGGGCAGGGGGCTGGGTGAAAAAGGTGAAGGGACTGAGAAATACAGACTGGAAGTCACAAAACAGTCAAGGGATGTAAAGTGCAGCATGGGAGTCTAGTCAGTGGTATCACAGTCACCATGCACAGTGCTCGCTGGGTACCAGAAACATCAGCATGAACACTTCGTAAAACATATGATTGGCTAACCACTACGCTGCACAGCCAAAAACTAATACAAAATAATACTGCTGTAAACTGTAAGAAAAAATTTTAAATAAAAAAACATTTTTTAAAGATTAAAGGAAATAAACCACTAATTACATGATTAAAAACATCAGAACTCAGAACAATTACCCTAATTACCAGAGACAGATAAATCTATTTTTTAAAGATTTTATTTATTTTTATGAAAGGGGAAAGGAGGGAGAAAGAAAGGGAGAGAAACATCCATGTGTGGTTGTCTCTCGTGCACCCCTCCTGGGGACCTGGCCAGCAACCCAGGCATATGGCCTGACTGGGAATCAAACCAGCGACCCTTTGCTTCGCAGTTGGGCACTCAATTCAATGAGCCACACCAGCCAGGGCAGAGACAGGAAAATCTTATAAATATTTCCACAGAAACCAAAAGGATGGAACACATCCCAAAATTATATGTGAGGATAATAATAATCACACAATAATCATCACAACAACAATCGTTTTCTTATATGATGACCAAGTCAGGTAAGTACATTACAAGAAAAGCCAGTATTATAAATGCAAACACATTCTAAACAAATTATTAGCACACTGAATCTATCAAGAATAGAATTTGACATAACCGAGATGAGTCAGGGTTTTTTTTTAAAGATTTTATTTATTTTTAGAGAGAGGGTAATGGAGGGAGAAAGAGAGGGAGAGAAACATCGATTGGCTGCCTCTTGCACACCCCCAGCTGAAAACCTGACCTGCACTCCAAGCATGTGCCCTGACCTGGAATCAAACCGGCGACCTTTCACTTTGCAGACCAATTGAGCCACGCCAGTGAGGGCCCAAAATGAGTTTTCTAAGGAATTCAATTCTTCTAAGATTAGAAGTCCCTTAATGTAATTCACCATATTAACTGATTAAAGGACTGAAAAAAATGATTATTTCAATATGTGTAGAAGAAGCACTATTAAAAACCTAACAGTTTAGACATAAAAGAGAACTTCCTGTTATCCAATACCTCCTTACTGCAGCAAACATCATATTACAGAAAAACATACCTGTAAAATCCAGAATGATTTTTACCACCATTATCATTTTTATTCTATGTTGCAGATATAGACAAGCCTATGAAAGAAAAACATGTTGGAGAAGTTGCTACCCAAAAATCAAAGTTTATTCTAAAGCTATAATAACTACTGTTAGATTTGCGCAAGGAAATTCTAAGTGACCAGTGGAACAGAACAGAGCATTCAGATGTGTGATTGTGGCCCCTCTTCTACTGACTCTGAAAATTTCTGGTGTTTTAACTATCACAGCACCAACACCACACTGGTGTCTGTATTGCTCAGGTTCATAAACTGGGTGGTGGGTTCACAGGTGTTCATTTCATTACTGAATTCTATAACTTAATGTTACATATATTCTTTTATATGCAGCCAGTATTTCTGTAAATTAATTATTTTTATATTTAAATTTTTTTCTAAGATTTTATTCATTTATCTTTAGAGGGAAAGGGAAAGAGCGAGGGAAAGAAACATCAGTGTATGGTCACCTCCTGTGCGTCCCCCGCTGCGAACTGGCCCGCAATCCAGGCACGTGCCCTGACTGGGAATCGAACCACGATCCCCTAGTTTGCAGGCCCGAGCTCAATCCACTGAGCCACAACCAGCCAGGGCTAAATTAATTATTATCAAATAAATGGCAGAAGAATGGTTAGGCTCTAGGAAGCCTTGATCCAGGAATTGAATGATGCTGGCACACATTTTATTTCTACTTCCTACTCCTACTCTCTCCGTATGTTGACTTTATTTTCTCAGGCTGCCTGTCCTGGAAAGGCTGGAACAAGGGTAAAAAGTGCTTCTGCGGCAGCCCTGGTTGAAAAAGAATGCTGGAGCAGTATTCCAATTGGTTACACTTACACAAAACAGAGTCCTGTCTAAACCAATCAGTGTCACCAAGAGGATGGAACTCTGAATGGAACGGTTGGATCATCCGCCCACCTGCAGTCAAGGGGACAATGTCTGTTACTGGAAGAGCTGGAGCAGTATGCGGCCACACAAAACATTCAGCCACGGCATGTGACGGCTGCAACTCTGAGACAGGCTGCTAGGATCAGATGCTGCTGTTTCAGCAGCTTCGCTATAGATAAAGATTACTGTGGCCCAGCCTCTAGTGGCTCCTGAAGTGCTCTTTTATATTTTCTTGTTTTTCTGCAGCAAAGAACCACTTTGTGTTCAGGAATTAGCAGAGAAGTTTGGGGATTACATAGATTAAAATGTGTTTTATCTTTCTGTGTACCATCCTTCCAGACTTAGCATCATTATAAAATTAAATTATTCACAACTTACAACATAATAAAGATTGATGAGAAAGACTTTACCTCTTTAGTCCTTGACAATAGCTTATTGTTGATAGACCCTATTGTGAGACCTTCAAGAGTACAAAGACAGCAAAAATAACCTGGGAGTCCTATTACCCAGAGATACCTGTCACCAACACTTTGGTAAATGCTCTTCCACAATCATCCTAGGCGTGCCTACACACATATATGGATATAATTTTATATAATTGTTGCATCAGTCACTTTGGAAAGAAAACCTATTAAACATAAATATTCAATATGCACTGTCAAATGCCTGCTCTCCAAAATAATTTACTGTATTTTTTGTTAATAGGTAATGCTACAAGTACGTTGCAGGAAGCACAAGTGCATTATATTTCTCGAAATGTTTGTAGTTCTGAGATGGGTTACGGGTCTGTAATCCCTGTAACTTCATTCTGTGCAGGTGACAAAGATGGAGTCTTCGATACTTGCAGGGTAAGACCAGATATTTTCTGAAGCAGGAGGGGACCTGACCAGGGCCTTTGATCACTTTCTGGTGAAGTAGTGATTACCAAGTCTTAAAAAAGTACTAAATTATTTTTTCTCATTTTTAACTTTACCAACAATCCAGATCCTCCTGCTTTCCTGATTTGCATCGACTCTTTCTTCCTTTTCTTCATCACCACCTTTACTGAGACATAATTTACCTGTATGGGATTCACCCATTAAAAGTGTACAACTCAATGGCTTTCTGGTACATTTACAGAGCAGTGCAACCATCACCATAATCTAATTTTAGAACTTTTGTTGCCCTCTAAAGAAACCTCTACCCAGTGTGATCTCTCCCCATTCTCCTCCCACCCATCTCCATCCTTAGGCAACCACTAATTTTCATAGATTTGCCTATTCTGGAAATTCCATATGAATGGCATCATTCCATATGTGGTCTTTTGTGACTTCTTTCACTGAGCATGACCTTTTCAGGGCCTGCCCACATTGTAACAAGTATCAGTTCTTTATTCACTTTGTTTCTAAGTAATATACCATTGTTGAATAGGCCACATTTATTTATCCATTCATTAGTTCATGGATATTTGAGCTATTACCACTTTGTGGCTATGACAAATAATGTTTCTATAAACATTTGTATATATGTTTTTATGTGTTGGTATGGTTTTTTCCTGGAAATTTCACCTAGGGGTGGAACTGCTGAGTCAATGTTTAACATTTTTTTAATATATTTTATTGATTTTGCTATTACAGTTGTCCCATTCCCCCCCTCATTCCCCTCCATTCTGCACACCCCCTCCCATCCACATTCCCCCTCTTTAATTCATGTCCATGTGTCATAAGTTCTTTAGCTTCTACAATTCCAATACTACTCTTGCCCTCCCTCTGTCTATTTTCTCCCCACCATCTATGCTACTTATTCTCTGTACCTTTTCCCCTTCTCCTCCTCCCACTCCCCTGTTGCTAACCCTCCACGTGATCTCCATTTCTGTGGTTCTGTTCCTGTTCTAGTGGTTTGCTTAGTTTTTGTTTTTGTTTTTGTTTTTGTTTTAGGTGTGGTTGTTAATAATTTGAGTTTGCTGTCATTTCACTATACATGTTTTTTATCTTCTTTTTCTTAGATAAGTCCCTTTAACATCTCATATAATAAGGGCTTAGTGATGATGAACTCCTTGAATTTGATCTTATCTGAGAAGCACTTTATCTGTCCTTCCATTCTAAATGAAAGCTCTGCTGGATAGATCAATCTTGGATGTAGGTCTTTGGATTTCATGACTTGGAATACTTCTTTCCAGCCCCTTCTTGCCTACAAGGTCTCTTTTGAGAAATCAGCTGACAGTCTGATGGGCACTCCTTTGTAGGTGACTGTCCCCTTATCTCTTGCTGCTTCTAGAATTCTCTCCTTCATTTTCATCTTGGGTGATGTAATTATGATGTGCCTTGCTGTGTTCCTCCTCGAGTCCACCTTCTTTGGGACTCTCTGAGCTTCCTGGATTTCCTGGCAGTCTATTCTTTTGCAGATTGGGGAAGTTCTCTTGTATTATTTGTTCAAGTAAGTTTTCCACTTATTGCTGTTCCTCTTCCCCTTCTGGTACCCCTATAATTCGGATTCTGGAATGTTTAAAGATGTCCTGGAGGTTCCTAAGCCTCTTCTCATTTTTGTGAATTCTTGTTTCTTCCTTCTTTTCTGCTTGTTTGTTTCTTTCTTCCTCTGGTCCACTCCATTGATTTGAGTCCCAGTTTCCTTCCCATCACTATTGGTTCCCTGTGTATTTTCCTTCCTTTCACTTAGTTTAACCTTCATTTTTTTTCATCTAATTTGCAACCAAATTCAACCAGTTCTGTGAGCATCCTAATCACCAGTGCTTTGAACTATGCATCTGATAGGTTGGCTATCTCTTTGTCTTTAGTTGTATTTGCTCTGGAGCTTTGATCTGTTCTTCTGCTTGGGCCATTTTTGGTCTTGTTGCACCTGTTACATACTGAAGGGTGGAGCCTTAGGTGTTCACCAGTGTGGGGCAACCCAGTTGCTGGTTTGTGATGCTGTATGTGGGGGCGGCATCTGAGAGGGAACAATGGCACTTGCTCTTCTCTGTGTCGGATTTCAGTCCCTTCCACCACTTCCTGCAAGCAAACTGGGCCCTTCTGATGCTGGTTCCTGTGTGGGTGGGACTGTGTTTATTCTAGAACCCTGTGGGTCTCTCCAGCAAACTCCTGTGAGGCTGGGAGTCTCTCCCTGTGCATCAACCCCACAGGTGTTTTCAATCAGTGTTTTGAGGCTTTATTTCCTGGCACTGGAGCCCTGGGTTGTGTGGTCTGTCTCTCTCCCCAGTTTCACCTGGTTTATCTGCACATGAATGTGGGACCGCCCAGTCAGCCAGCTGCCCTGTGCACTGGGGCCTCCTTCACAATTGCCATCTCACTGGGTCTTCCTGTTGCCACCCCACATGCAGGGTCTGCCAGCCACCGCCTATGTGCCCAGGGTCCGCCCACTGCCAACTTGCATGACCAGGGTTTGTCAGCTGCTGCCTTGCGTGCCCAGTGCCATTGCTTTTTTTGCTGCGACCCCTCTCTGCCTGGCCGCCTGACTCCGCCCCTCCTACAGGTCTGGATGAATGTGTCTATTTTAACTCCTTGGTTGTTGGACTTCTATACAATTAAATTTTCTGTCAGTTCTCATTGTTATTTTGTTTCTAAATTGATGTTGTCCTTACTTTGGTTGTGCGAGGAGGCACAGTATGTCTACCTACACCTCCATCTCAGTTGGAAGTCTCAATATTTAACATTTTGAGGAAGCACCAAACTGTATTTCCAAAGTGTCTGCACCATTTTACATTCTCATCAGTTATGCATGAGGGTTCCAATTTCTCCACATTATTTCAGCACTTACTGTTTTTAAAAGATTTTATTTATTTTATTTAGAGAGGGGGAAGAGAGGGAGAAAGAGAAGGAGAGAAACATCTATGTGTGGTTGCCTCCCACATGCCCCCTGTTGGGGACCTGGCCTGCAACCCAGGCACGTGCCCTGACTGGGAATCGACCCAGCAACCCTTTGGTTCACAGGCCCGTGCTCAATCCACTGAGCCACACTAGCCAGGTTGTACACTTATTGTCTGTCCATTTTATTACAGCCATCCTTGTGTGAAGTGTTCATCTCATTGTGGTTTTAATTTGTATTGTCTTGATGTCTAATAATGTTGAGCATCTTTTTATGTGCTTATTAGCCATTTGTATATCTTCTTTGAATAAATGTTCATTCAGATCATTTGCCCATTTAAAAATTGAGTTACCTTTTTATTATCAAGTCATAAGCATCCTTTATAAACTATGGCTCCAGTTTTTTCCCATTCTGTGGACTGTCTTTTCATTTCCCTGGTTATCCTTTGTAGCACAAAAGTTTGGATTTTTTAATGAAGTCCCATTTATCTACTCTTTGTTTTGAATCTTTTTTTATTCCTCTTTTCTTCAATACTTCTAAATCCATCAGCACTGAACTCCTAAGCAGTACCTCATGCTCTGACCTTTTCCTATTCATTCTGATTTCTAGAAATCCAGAGTTTATCTTTCCTGTCTTCTTTTCCTTAAAAACCTTGCTGGACAAAATAGTAAAGAATCCAATCTAACTGAACTGCATTCATAAGCAAATCATTCTCATTGTCACAAAAATAATCATTGAAGGCCTACCATACAGAGAGAATTTGAAAACATCTTAGAAACAGTCTTTAATTTTCAGGCACTGTAACAGGTAGCTCAGTGTCCTCACTTTCTCGAGTGATTTAACATCCTTGGTATCGTGTTCCAGTGAATATGCTGACAGTCTGGTATAAGCCACCACGGGGATTTGTTACTCGCAATGCTGTTGAGAGGGTCAGCCATTTGTTCCGAATATCCTGCACCAGTCAAGGTCGACACTTAGAAAGATGTTATTTCTTGCAAGATTCAGTTTACTCCTCTTCTCTAGCTAGCAAACCACACAGACCTAAAAGACTCCTTCAAAGTCGCACCTTTCACAAACCGCATCAATAGAAGTATTCTAATAAACAGTGCTTACAATATTTGCATGTCCCATATTATATTTCTCCTAATTGTACTAAAGAACCTGAACGATTTCATTTCTAGTATTTTGGTTCACAACTGTGCAGACGGCTCATTTGCCCAGAAGCCGTGTGGCTCCTGTAAACACCAGGCCACACTGGCTGTAACCGAGTTCCTGGCAGAGATGGAATATGAAACCGAAAATCTGTCACCTTAATAACTTAGAAGTATACTGAAATGTGTGTTTATATAAATGTTTGTTTAATGTAATTAATGTACCCCAACTTTACTATTACATAAAGACTATTAAAAGTAACTGCCACTGTTTCGGGACTTTTTTACAGGGCGACAGTGGTGGACCACTAATGTGCTACCTTCCAGAGCAGAGTCGGTTTTTTGTGATGGGAGTTACCAGTTACGGGTATGGCTGTGGCCGGAAGAATTTCCCTGGTGTCTATAGTGGGCCGTCCTTCTTCAAAACGTGGCTGACAGGTCACTTCGACAAGACAATCAGTAAAGGCGTATTTAATATAAATAGTCCACTTGGACATGTCCTCATTGCCTTCTGTTCTGTTATTTTACTAGCAACTCTGTAAAAAAATTCTGAAGAACTTTTATTTTTCATCATGTCCCTTTCCACGTTCTACATAATGAAAGTAATTTATTCTTTGGGCAAGTTATTGCTCACTTTGAGTTCTCGGGTGCACATTTTGGGGGGAATGAAAGACTGACGTTTGAGATGCGGATTATAAGTTTGGCACTGAATCACACACGGCCGTGATGTATCCTGATTGCTTTACTTATAATCAGTACTTCTCCTAGAGTTCATATGAAATATTCGGTTTAAATATATATACTTCATGTATGCACATGCCAGACAATAAAGAGTTGGTAATTAAGACGGAAGCTGTTCTTACACGCACCACCCACGGGTGTGAACTCCGTGGGGGTACTCCGGAGGGAAAAGGGGGTACCGGGCGGAGGGGAGCAAAGGAAAAAAAATTGGGGAAACTGTAACAGCATAGTCAATAAAATATACTTTAAAAAGAAAAATGGAAATTGTTCTTTTATTAAATTAATCAAAACTCCTTTCTTTAAAATTTAGATTTTTAGGAGTACTTTCTCAATATCTTGAGGCTTTCCTTCCCAGCAACAGTCATCAGTTAGGCTCAAATAAACTCATAAAAGAGAAAAAAGAGGCCCTGGCCAGTGTGACTCAGTTGGTTGGAGTATCACTCCATAAACCAAAAGATCGCCAGTTCAATTCCTGTTCAGGGCACATGCCTAGTTTGTGGGTTCGGTCCCCGATAGGGGCTCATAAGAAAGGCAACCAGTCCATGTTTCTCTCCCTCTCTCCCTTTCTTCCCCTCTAAGATCAATAAGCATGTCCTTGGGTGAGGATAAAAAATAAATAAATAAGAAAAAAAGACTAAAAGTTAGATTTTATTAAAAAAATGTATGATATATTTTTTTTATTATTATCTGGTTCTCAAAAATATTTGAAGAAGTACCTATTATTTAAACTCTAACTAAAATTGTTTAGTATTAATATTTGCCAAAGACCTTACATGTACAACCCATGGACATGAACTGGGGTGGGGGAAATGCAGGAGGGTAGGAGGGCACAGGGCAGAGGGGGACAAAGGGGAGAAAAAAATTGAGAAAACTGTTAATAGCATAATCAATAAAATATACTTAAAAAATAAGATGGTAAGTTATGTCTTACATGTATTTTGCCACAATTTAAAATATAAAAATAATTTAAGCAGTTATTACCAGAGTAGGTAAAGAAAAGCAAAGACCCACTGCATGATGTCTACAAGATAGATTTTAAATATAAAGATAAAAGTAGGTTGAAATTTAAAATTTGGAAAAATTAAGCATAAGAAGCATAAGGAGTGGCTAAATGCATGTCAAACAATATAAACATCAGAACAAAAAGAAAAACTAAAAACAAAGAGGGACATTTCATAATGACAAAAGCAAAAATATATCAGGCAGCTCCAGCTATTATAAATATATTTATGTCTAATAATAGAGCCCCAAAGTACATGAAGCAAAAACTGAAATAACTAAAGGGAGAAAAAAGTTCACAATCATAATTGTAGGTGTAAAACATCTCTCTAAATAATTGATAAAGCATCTAAATAACAAGGAATCAGAAGATCTGAATGACATTTTAAACTACATTAACCTGCCCTGGCTGGTACGGCTCAGTGGCCTGAGTGCCAGCTGGCAAAGCAGGGGGTCACTGGTTTGATTCCCAGGCTCCCAGTCAGGGCACATGCTTGGGTTGCGGGCCAGGTCTCCAGTAGGGCACACCCAAGAGTCAACCACACATTGAAGATTCTTGCCCTCTTTCTCCCTTCCCCTCTGAAAATTAAAAAACAAAAAACTACATTAACCTGACATTTATAGAACATTACATCTTACAACTTCAGGATATATATATATTTTTTTAATTTTTAATTGTAGTGTTTCCATTACCATTTATTCCCCTTATAGCCAACACCCCATCCCCCGCCATCACCACACTGCTCTCCATGTGAGATACATATTCTTGTCAATGAACATGGTCTGTTTCCCAAGAAAAAATATATTCTGAGCCACAAAACAAATTTCAATACATTTAAAAAGACTGAAATCTCACATTTCCTCTGAGCACAACAGAATTAAACTAGAAGTCAATGTCAGCAGATAACCATGAAAGGCCCAAATAACTTCTAAATAACCCATGGGGTCAAATAAACAAATCACAAGTTAGTTATAAAATATTTTAATATTCAATGAAAATGAAAACACTGCACATCAAACTTTGCATATCCACTTAAAACAACACTGTAAGAAAAAACAGCTTCCAATTCTCAAATTAAGAAGAGAAGGAAGCAAGACTTCTGGCCAAGATGGAGGCATAGGTGGAAACATTGTGCCTCCTTGCACAACCAAGTTTGAAGACAATAAAGTTTTAGTAACAAAAATGCAACCAAAACACAGAAAATCGAACTGTACGGAAGCCCGACAATAACAAACTATTCCTCCAGACCAGTAAGAGGGGCGGTTGTCAGCAGCTGGTGGAGCAGGGCAGACCCAGTGGGGGCGCAAGGCGGCTGGCTGACCACGGTCACACATTTGCGAGCAGATAAACTAGGCAAGGGAGCGAGCGGTGAGACAGACCGCGGAGGCCAGGGCCCCAGCGACAGGAATTAAAGCCTAAAAGCACCAATTGGAAAAACTTTTGGGGTCGAAGTGCCAGGAGAAGCTCCCAGGCTCAGAGAGAGTTTGTTGGAGAGACCCACAGGGTCCTGGAGGGTGCATAGGTCCACACACCCAGGAACCAGCACCAGGGGCACCCAGTTTGCTTGCTTTCAGGAAGCAGCAGAGGGGACCAAAATCCGAGAGAGAGCAGAACAAATGCCTTTACCCCTCTCTGACTCCACCCTCACATACAGCGTTATAACCCAGCAAGTCAGTGGGCCTGCCCTAGTGAACACCTCAGGCTCTGCCCTTCAGTATGTAACAGGCATGACCTAACCAAAACATTATGGCTCCAGAAGAACAGCTCGAAGCCCCACAGCCAACACTTCTAAGCGACCAAGAGATAACCAACCTATCAGATGCACAGTTGAAAACACTGGTGATCAGTATGCTCACAGAACTGGCTGATTTTAGTCACAAATCAGAGGAACAAATGAAGGCTACACTAATTGAAATGAAGGGAAGTACACAGGAAACCAAAAGTGATGGAAAAGAAACTGGGACTCAAATCAAGGGAGTGGACCGGAAGGAAGAAAAAAATGACCAAACAGAAAAATATGAAGAAACAAGAATTCAAAAAAATGAGGAGAGGCTTAGGAACCTCCAGGACACCTTTAAACATTCCAACATCCGAATTATAGGGGTGCCAGAAGGGGAAGAGGAAGAGCCACGAGTGGAAAGCTTATTTGAGCAAATGATAAAGGAGAACTTCCCCATTCTGGCAAAGGAAATAGACTTCCAGGAAGTCCAGGAAGCTCAGAGAGTCCCAAAGAAGGTGGACTCAAGGAGGAACACACCAAGGCACATCATAATTACATCATCCAGGATGAAAATGAAGGAGAGAATTCTAGAAGCAGCAAGAGATAAGGGGACAGTCACCTACAAAGGAGTGCCCATCAGACTGTCAGCAGATTTCTCAAAAGAGACCTTACAGGCAAGAAGGGGCTGGAAAGAAGTATTCCAAGTCATGAAATCCAAAGACCTACATCCAAGATTGATCTATCCAGCAGAGCTTTCATTTAGAATGGAAGGACAGATAAAGTGCTTCTCAGATAAGATCAAATTCAAGGAGTTCATCATCACTAAGCCCTTATTATATGAGATGTTAAAGGATCTTACCTAAGAAAAAGAAGATAAAAAAGATGAACAGTGAAAGGAGAGCAAACTCACAGTTATTAACAACCACACCTAAAACAAAAGCAAACTAAGAGGACAGCTAGATCAGGAGCAGAACCATAGAAATGAAGATCACATGGAGGGTTAGCAACAGGGGAGTGGGAGGAGGAGAAGGTACAGAGAATAAGTAGCATAGATGGTGGGGAGAAAATAGATAGTGGGGAGGGCAAGAATAGTTTGGGAAATATAGAATCTAAAGAACTTGAGACATGTGGTCATAAACTAAAGGGGGGGAATGGTGGGGGAGGAGGTATGCAGGGTGGATGGGAATGAGGGGGGGATATAGGACAACTGTAATAACATAATCAATAAAATATATTTAAAAAAAGAAAAAAAAACAAACACTAGGGCCCTGGCTGGTGTAGCTCAGTGGACTGAGAGCAGGCTGCGAACCCAAGGGTCGCCAGTTTGATTCCCAGTCAGGGTACACACCTGGGTTTTGGTGAAGGTCCCCAGAGGGGACCACATGAGAGTCAACCACACATTGATGTTTCTCTCCCTCTCTTTCTTCCTACCTTCTCCTCTCTTTAAAAATAAATAAATAAAAGTAAAATTAAACAAAAAAAAGAAAACGAACACTAGGAAAAGAATCAACAATACCAAAAGCTAATTTTACATCAAGAAAAGTGACAACCCTCTAGTTGAACTGACCAAAAAAAGAGGAGAGACACAAACTGTCAACATCAGTAATGAAGAGCGGACACTTCTACTGATTCTGCAGATATTAAAAGGACAGTAAGAGAATACTGTGCTTAATTCTATGCCAATAAATCCAACAACTTACATTTTAATAGGCAGCAAATTTCTGAAATAAAAATTACCAAAACAGACACAAGAAGAACTAGAATCTTTTCCAATATTTACTAAATATATCAATATTTACTAAAGAAATTAAATTTGTAATTAAAAACATAAAATATTTCTATTTTATGTGTTAATATAAATTAAAGTTGTATAAATTTTGTATAAAAACACAAAGAACCTAGAATAGTCAAAGTAATTTTGAGAAGTCACAGTAATTTCAGAAGACTTAACCTATCTGACTTCAAGATTCACTATGAAGCTACAGTAATAAGAGTGTGGTACCATATGGATGGACATATAGATCAATAAAACAGAAAAGAATTCCCAGAAGTAGACCCACACGTTTATGACCAACTGCTTTCCAACAAAGGTGCCGCGGTAACTCAATGAGGAAAGGACAGTCCTTCCAAAACTGTGCTGGAGTAACTAGCTGTCTCTATGGAAAGAAATAGGAGACCCTCCCCTCATGTGATGGTGGCCAGACTTGTGAACTGGACGTGGGCGGAAGCGGACATCGCCTCTCTGTAAGTGCCCTCAGAACCAGCACTGCAGCCTCCCCCCGCTGCATGCTGATTCCTGGACAGGTCTTTGCACACAGGGGCAGGAATGCCAGGCACCTTCCCCTACCTGCGGTGGGTCACGCCCTAGCACCCCTATCCATCTTGCTATGTTCTATATAACTTTTTAGCAATTGCCAAGCTGCACAAAGGATATCCACCTGTCTTGCCACAGCCTAAGATATGCCTTATATTCAAACTTCCCTTAATAAACTCTGTTGCTTTTCCCCCGGGTCTGAGGGTCGTAAGGGTCATGCACCCTATACTTAACACCTACACTGGACTGTGTCAATTACACCCACACGGGCACTCTATGTCAATTACATCTCAATGAAAGCAGAAAAAATATTAATCTTGCTCTTTGCTTCACATCCTATATAAAAAAATAAATAAAACGAATCATAGTCCTAAACATAAATCAAAGCCAAAAACATAAAACATGTAGAAAGAATATAAAAGAGAAGCTTTTTGCAACCATGGAATAGGCAAGAATTACTAAAGCAAAAAACAAAACAAAAAATTCATGGACTGTAAGAAAAAATGTATAAGTGGACTTCATAAAAATAAAAGACACACCTAAGAAAATGAAAAGGCAAGTCAGTCCCGGACTGGGAGCGAACAGCTGACACACACACACGTGCTCTCTTCTATGTGTGTTCTGTATGCATCTGTGTTCTGGTCCTCGGTCAGGTAACAAAGGACGTGGCTGCTTTTCTAAGTGAGTGACAGCTAACAAGCTAATATTACAAATCCTTTACAGTCACAAATACAGTTTAAATGTGGAGATTTTAAGGTAAAGCATACTTGCTCCTCATAATTACCTTCAGATATAATTGAGACCACACTACTACACATAATTTGGTATGCTGCTATGTCTAATCAATTCCAGTTACCATATTTTACACTTACTGGTCATCAGCAATGCTTTGTATGTATGGGTCATTAAGCGCCTAAAGAAATATCAATCCAACAAACTGGATGCATTTAATATTCTTTAAAGACAAATAAGCTGACGGAAGTAGTAGCCTCTCTTGATATCTTACTCCCCAATTACTGATAGAACTTTACCAGAGAAATAATTACACATTTTGTCAAACATTAAAAAAACCCACAAATCATTTCCAAGATAATACATTCCTTATTCAATATCCAAAAATAAATAAAGGCTTTCTAACTGAAAGCACTTATATTCCCAAACTAAGTAAACATTAAAAACACAAAGCTTAAGGGAAAAAGTCTCACTAAATAGTCCACTGAGTTACATTAAGTATTTTCTACCTAACACTTTCTCAAATTCAAAAGATATGTATTTCCTCAGAACATGTCAACAAGAGTTCATTTCAAACTGTTTAGCCTGTGTTATGTCAACAGAGCAAGATTCCTTGGCTACCATAAGTCACATTAGTTGACTATGAAATTTCTCAATCTTCGTACCATCTTGAGCTTGGTGGATCTTACATTAATACACAGACTCCTTTACGAACACCTATATTTGAGAAACACATGTACTTTCAGAGTCAGCAAGGTACAGGGTGGCTGCGTGGCTGGGACTGCGGCATTGCGGGCCAGCACGGACAGAAAGCGGGAAAGGCTGTGAGGCCAGAGGCGGTAAACCCAACCCACCGATGTGCCTCTCACAACCTCCGACAAACTCAGTGGAGAAAAGACCGATTAAAAAATGAATGATGTTGGGTCAAATAAGTAGCCAGTTAAGAAAAAGGAAAAACCTATAATTCCTATTTGTTCCAAGGATAAATTCTAAACTGGGATCAAGGATTTAAATGCAAAAAAATAAAATCACAGCCCTGGTGAGGTGGCTGAGTTGGCTGGAGCACCATCCCACACACAAAAGGCTGTGGGTTCAATCGCTGGTCAGGGCACATGCCTGGGTTGCGGGTTTGATCCAGGGCTGGGGCACCTGCAGGGGGCAACCAATTGATGTTGCTCTTACATCAATGTTGTTCTCTCTCTCATCTCTAAATAAAATCTGATTTAAAAATGGGCAGAGAGGACATAAAACATGAAGTAACAAACAAACAAATCAAACAAACAAAAATCCTGATAGATACCTGAAACAGACAGACAGAACCATATGATCCTAGCACATACACAAGCCCACCCACCATGAAATCAGCACCAGAAGGGCCCAGTTTGCTTGGGGAAAGTGGTGGAAGGGACTGAAATCTGACACAGAGCGAAGCAAGTGCCACTGTTCCCTCTCAAACCCTGCCCCCAGATATAGTGTCTCAACCCAGCAACTGGGTTGCCCAACACTGGTGAACACCAAAGGCTCCACCCCTCATACATAACAGATGTGACAAGACCAAAAAAAAAAAAAAACAGGCCCAAATAGAAGAACAGATCAAAGCCCCAGAGCAAATACAACTAAAGACAAAGAGATAGCCAACCTATCACATGCACAGTTCAAAGCACTGGTGATCAGGATGCTCACAGAATTGGTTAAATTTGGTCACAAATTAGATGAGCAAATGAAGGCTACACTAAGTGAAATGAAGCACAATGCACAGGGAACCAATAGTGATGGGAAGAAAACTGGGACTCAAATCAATGGAGTGGACCAGAAGGAAGAAACAACCAAACAGAAAAGAAGAAACAAGAATTCAAAAAAATGAGGAGAGGCTTAGGAACCTCCAGGACATCTTTAAACATTCCAACATCCAAATTATAGGGGTACCAGAAGGGGAAGAGGAACAGCAACAAGTGGAAAACTTATCTGAACAACTAATAAAGGAGAACTTCTCCAATCTGGCGAAGAAAATAGACTGCCAGGAAGTCCAGGAAGCTCAGAGAGTCCCAAAGAAGGTGGACCCAAGAAGGAACACACCAAGGCACACCATCATTACATCACCCAAGATGAAAATGAAGGAGAGAATTCTAGAAGCAACCAGAGATAAGGGGACAGTCACCTACAAAGGAGTGCCCATTAGACTGTCAGCTGATTTCTCAAAAGAGACCTTGTAGGCAAGAAGGGGCTGGAAAGAAGTATTCCAAGTCATGAAATCCAAAGACCTACATCCAAGATTGCTCTATCCTGCAAAGCTTTCATTTAGAATGGAAGGGCAGATAAAGTGCTTCTCAGATAAGGTCAAGTTCAAGGAGTTCATCATCACCAAGCCCTATTCCCTTATTATATGAGATGTTAAAGGGACTTACCTAAGAAAAAGAAGATAAACATGTATAGTGAAATGACAGCAAACTCAAATTACTAACAACCATACCTAAAACAAAAATAAACTAAGCAAACAACTAGAACAGGAACAGAACCACAGAAATGAAGATCACATGGAGGGTTAGCAACAGGGGAATGGGAGGAGGAGAAGGGGGGAGAAGGTACAGAGAATAAGTAGCATAGATGGTAGGTAGAAAATAGATTGGGGGAAGGGCAAGAATAGTATGGGAAATGCAGAAGCTAAAGAACTTATGACACACGGACATGAACTAAAGGGGGGGAATGTGGGTGGGAGAGGGTGTGCAGGATGGAGGAGAATAAAGGGGAAGATGGGACAACTGTAACAGCATAATTAATAAAATATATTTTTAAAATAAAAAGTAAACAATCATTATTTTTGAAAATTTCCATATTCCCCTACCAGTCTAAAAGTCAGGTTTTCCTATTAAAAATGGATGTCAAACTATTTCTTGAATGCTTGTGATTCTCAAACGTGAATATTCTGGAGAACTACTTTTAATCTAAATTAGCGGAATAATGCGGTAGTGCATAACTTTAAGTTCAAACTTGCCCTTGACCCCTGACCAGTGTGCGTCCTGTAGCATGGCTCCAGCAAAGCAAAAGGTCACCAGTTGGATTCCTGGTCAGGGCACTTTCCTGTGTTGTGGGTTCAGTCTCTGTGAAAAGCAACCAATCGATTTTCTCTCCCTCTTTCCCTTCCCTTCCCCTCTCTCTAAGAAATAATAAATAAGAAAGGAACAAATGAACTCGTCATTTAAAAATGAGCAGCCTAAAACAGTGACTTAAAAATAATTTTGTCGAGTTAGGGTCTGGAAGTCTCAGCACAGATAGCGAAAGGGAAACAATTCTTGACAACTGTAGCCAGAGGGCACGTCTTGATTTCCTTTTCAAAAAACACTGGGGGAAGGGGAGGACGAGGGGGCGGGGAGAAGGGCAGAGCGGGAACAGGAGGAGGGGGGTGTCCAGGCTGCCTTCTTCCGGTACAGTTTAACCAGGCTCCGCCCACGGGCTCTGCTTTCTTTGTAGAGGCATTGGAAGACCTGGATAAGGAGTAAGCACACTGTGCATAGAAAACTGCGGTACCTTCCAAGCCCAGAGAAGGGGGGAGCAGGAACAGATTTGGAAAAAGGGATTATAATCACCTTTCCATCTAAGGAAAAGCTAGGAACCTCATTTTGCTTCAAGAAAACAAAGCTGTGAGCCAGCTTTTGCCAAAGGTCTATTAAGTGGGTGAAATGGGCCTTTTGCTCCTGATCCGACCTCTGCCGCAGCTTTCTCTTGTAGCACAGCCAGTTTCCTCTGAAGCCAATAGGCTCTGGACTGGGGCCAAACCGTGCCTCCTGCAGTTAAAGGAGTCCGGTGGACAAACGGGCTGTTTTTTCTCTTCCCAGTGATGACACTGACCATTTTTATCCTCCGGCTGGCCGTCAGCGTCCTGCTACTTCCCCTGTTCTTGCTCAACTTTCTGGGCTTGTGGACCTGGATCTGCAAAAAATGGTTCCCCTACTTCTTGGTGTCGTTCAGTGAGACATACAACAAACAGATGGCCAGCAAGAAGCGCGAGCTCTTCAGCAACCTGCTGGACTACGCAGGCCCCTCCGGGAAGCTCTCCCTGCTGGAGTTGGGCTGTGGAACCGGGACCAACTTCAGGTTCTATCCGCCTGGATGCAGAGTGACCTGTGTTGACCCCAACCCCAACTTTGAGAAGTTCTTGATCAAGAGCATTGCTGAGAATCGACACCTGCAGTTCGAGCGCTTCATGGTGGCCTCCGGGGAGAACATGCACCTGCTGCCCGATGGTTCCATGGACGCCGTGGTCTGCACCCTGGTCCTGTGCTCCGTGGAGAGCCAGGAGCAGACCCTCCAGGAGGTGTGCAGAGTGCTGAGGCCGGTGAGTGAGGGGGGCGTGAGGAGGGCTGGTTAGTAATAAACACCATCACCAAAGGCAGTCCTGTCAATTTCAGCTAAATTCAACAGTCTACGGTAAAAAGGAAACTAGAGAAGACGCTATTGAATTTTTTTTAAATCTTAGAGTGGGAAAGAAGCTGTAAAGGGGAAGGCCGATAAATCTGAATACATAAAATTCTAAAACTGCAGGAAAAAAACTACTACAAGTAAAGTTAAAGTAGAAGTATCTGCCAGGGATGATAGACAAAGGGTTTAATTTCCTTCATAGTGAAAGACATTACAAGTCAAAGGTCAATAGGATTTTTTAAATCAATAAGAAAAATACGAGACAGACAGTTGGCGATTCCAGTGGCCACCGCGGGAGAGGAGAGCCCGGCGGAGATAGAGGCCCAAAGCCCCACGCTCGCTGCCACCCCCCGGGGTGCGGTGCGGATTCCCCCCACTCCGCCCTCCGAGCCGCCGTCCCACCCACTGCCTGCCTGCCGCTGGCGGAGGCGCAAGGCCTGAGGGGCGGGAGCCCGCTGGGCCCTGCGTCTGCTCCCGCTGCTTCCACTGCTGTGGGCTCGGCCAGGATCCCGGCTGTCCGACCAAGACCTTAGCCCCCTGAACAAGGTACAGCCGCAGCCCGTGGCCATAACCGTGGAGGGCCTCAGCCGGCCCTGGCCGGGGTGTGGCGTTCTTTACAAATTCGAGGCAAGACCCCCCCACCAGCAGAAACAAGTTATGACTTGTTTTATTGAGGTGGCCTGGAACTGAACCCATAATGTGCCCGAGAAAGGACTCACACCAGCTGTCCCCGTTCATGGCAATAAAGAAGTTCTAGATATGGGAACTAGTTTGGGGTTTGGCTAAGCACTGGGGCTGCCATTTCAGTTACCGCTGTAGGTGAACTGGGTGATGAGCGTTTTCGGTAGCTGCCTGTGGCACGCGCTCTGACCATTTGACAGTGCTGGCTGGTGCTGTGCTGGTCTCGGGCTTGATGACCTGCTATTGGTTTTGTTTGGCTGTGACGCCTCCGTCACCCCTAGGGTCTACACCTACTATGTTTCCAGTGCATCATTTGCCATGTTTGGCTTGGGAAGGCTTATAGATGGGTCCACAAGAAGGTCAAAAGAAACGGAAAGAAGTTCAAGCAGAATTAAAGAAAAAATGGCGAAGAATTTCAATGAGCCAAACTCTGAAATGGACTGGATGTTGAAATGGGTACAAGCACGGCACCTCATAAAAAGTGGCCGCACTCGAGTTCACCCTTCTTTGTTCGGGCTCTTACATTAGCATTCTAAGCGGAGCGGGGTGATCGCTGTCCACTAACTACGGTTGTTCGGTTGTTTGGGCGGCGAGAGCGCCCCCTGCGGCGGAGCAGCGGGAGGGACAGGAGATCAGCTCCGACCGGAGGAAGGAGAAGAGCACGAAACTGTCCGAACTGGCCGATCAGAGGAGGCGGCGCATTTCTGGCATTTGCTGCGTTACTTGTAAGTCTTGATTCTAGTTTTGAATAAACTCTTGAAACATCTGTATTTAGTTTAAGATGGGTAACTCTTGTGTTTATGTACGTGTACATTGAAACTAAAAGTGATGAAAATATTGTAAAAAAAGAAAGAAAAACAATAATAGGCAAAGAGCAGGAACCAAAATACAAATAAAAATAGCCAATTATGTCACAAAAATGCTCAACCTTACAATTAAAGGACAGATTAAAACAAGATACCATTCTCACCTATTATACTGTCAGAGACTTTTAAGGTCGGTATGGCATTAGGGTGCGTTTGGGAGACTGGACACCCTCATACACATTGGAGAAAGTGCCCTCTTTGGAGGGCAATTTAATATCAGATTATCTTATTAAATTTATTGCAGTGACATTGTTTAATAAAATTAACAGGTTTCAGCTGCATTTCCACAATACGTCATGTGTGTTGCACAGTGTGCCCACCGCCCAAAGTCGACTCTCCTGTCACCACACATTTGACCCTCTTGACCCTTTGCCACCTCCCCACTCCCTTCCCCTCGGGAAACCTGTTGTCTGTGTCTGAGTTTCTGCTCATTTTGTTTGTTCATTCATTGTTGCCAGTTCTATATCCTACGTGAGTGAGACCATACGGTCCTTTACTTCTTCTGAATGACTTATTTCACTTAGCATGACATTCTGAAGGCCCACCCGTGTTGTCACACATGGCGGCGTTCCATCTTTCCTTACGGCTGGGTAGCATTCTGCTGTGTATACGCCTGCCGCCTTCTTTACCCGGTCCCCTGTGAGGGACACTCGGTTGCTTCCACAGCCTGGCCGCCATGAATAATGCTGCAGTGACGCAGGGGCACATCTGTCTTTACAAGTAACTGTTGTCTAATTTTTCGGTAGATACCCAGGAGAGAGGTGGCTGGATCACATGGTAACTCTATTCTTAACTTTTTGAGAATTTTCTACACTGCATTCCACAGTAGCCATCCCAGTTTACATTCCCACTAGCAGTGGGTCAGGGCTCCTTTTCCTCCACAGCCTCCCCAGCAGAGAAGAGACCATACACACTGAACTTTAGGACCTTGATCATAGGGAGGATTGTATAAATTTGACCCCAACAGCAAGGGAAGCAAAAGCAAAAATATCAAAATCTAAGGGGCACATCCTCCTTTACCCAGTATGAATTTATCCCACAGCTCTACTGCACAAATGTGAAAAAACCCACAGGCAAAAATATCCGTGACAGTTTGTGTAATAGTACAAATTGAAAATAACCTAGAAGTCCATCCATAGGAAGCTATTCAAGTAAATTGCCACATAGTGTAAAGGACTTCTGTGCAGCTGTTAAAAATAATAAGGAACAGTTATCTATGTTGATATGAAAGAGCCCCCAAGAGGTAATGTTAAATGAGAAAATCAAAGTGTAGAAAGTGATGTATAAGCCTATTTGTGTGTGTGGGGTGGGGTGGGGAGAATATACCTGGATATGTATCTATGTTACTGGGAATGACAGACAAGAAACTGTTATTAGTGGTGCCTCTCGGGAATGGGACGGTGGCAGGGGAAGAATGCCTTTCTGCACAGTTTGAAATTCTCAATACTTTTGTGTAATTTCTACCTATTACCTTTATCATTTGTTTAAAAACTAGTTTAAGATAGCTTTATTCCAAATATACTTGAATGTAAATAAAGTATGGATATCTTAACATTTGAATTTCCTTTTCTAGGAGAAAAGGGCATTCTGCAATCACGCCTTCTATTTTCTAATAGCGGAAGTGCCTCAGAAATAAAAGGACATGAAGAGAGGATGTACAGGCAATTACATAATTTTGTCTTTGGCTCAAGGATAGGCCCACATCAAAGTAATAAATGAAAAAGGTCTGATTCTTATGCCCAAAAGTTGGGTTCCTGTGTCCTAAGCCTGGACACAAACTGGGCGTAGTTAGTAGTGTTAATAATCTCACAAACCCCCTACAGAGCAATTAATTAACCTCTGTTTTACAGCACTGATAATGCTCTGAAGGAGCTCATGTACTTGGTAGACCTCCACTGTTCCTGTGAAGCATCCACTCTCTGCTGAATAAAACCAGCTTTATTACATTCTCATTAACACAACAGTCCTGTAAAGTAGATTTTGCCTTCATGTTGAGTTGAGGAAACAGAGAGGTTAAGAAACTTGCTCAAAGTCACACAGCTAGTAAGTGTTGCTTTAATGCAAACATTCTTACTGCTGCTCCACATGGTCACTTGAGCTTCTTCTCTGACTTCCACATTTCTGCCACCTTTGCTGTTCATCCTCCACCCATACTAAACACTGCAGTTTTCCTTTGACTCTCATTTCACTCATACACCCGCCTGGGCAATCTCAGTCACCCCCAGATGTCTCAATTACCAGGTATGCATAGATATTTCTGAATCGAACGATGTATCTAGACCAGCCCTGCATGTCCAGCTGTCTGCCTGACAGTCCCCTACGTTATTCAGGGGGCAATGTCAACCTCCCAGACCTGGCTCTTCTTTCTCTCCTGTCCTGTTCTATGGTTGGTTGGTTGATTTTTATCGGGAAATTTCAAGTTTTCCATTGATGAACACAGATCTTAGACTCACTCAGAGAATTTGGGGGAACTCTGTCTCTCAACTTTCTGCCTTGGAGAGCCAAGACTAGGGTAACTAGACGAGACTAAGAACAGGGGGGCAAGTCACTGCGGGTTTTGGAGGTGACTGTCGGGCCCCGTTCTCCCTACTCACCTCAGAGATGGGCAGAAAACGTCTGAGGACCTCCTAGTAACATGGAAGCCTTATTTGTCTAGACTCGACTTACATTTATAGGACTGTCCTAGATAAAGCAGCACGTTCAAATCTCTGCTGACAAAATGTCGGCATGGACTCAGTAACACTTTTAGATGAATCACTGTTGCAGTCAGTCACACTCACATTCTTGCGACAACGTTACCAAAGTATAGGACATAGCTATTCAGTCTCGGGAGGCACTTGGTGTGGATTCAGACCGTCCCCCAGGTTTGCAAAGCAGAGCCTGAGAACAATTTTCACATGAATTAAAGGATTTTTAAAAAATAAAGAAGTAGAGATTTTTAAAAATATTTTACTTATTTATTTTTAGAGAGGGAGAAAGGAGGGAGAGAGAGAGGGAAACATCAATGTGTGGCTGCCTCTCACATGTCCCCTATTGGGGACCTGGCCTGCAACCCAAGCATGTGCCTTAACTGGGAATTGAACCAGCGGCCCTTTGGTTCACAGGCCGGAGTTCAATCTACTGAGCCACACCAGCCAGGGCAGAAGGAGAGATTTTTTTTTTAAGAGTAATTAAAATGCAATTAACAAACTGAGGAAAACATTTGTAGTATAGCCTTATTATACTACTAAAAGTCCTTAGTAATTAGTAAGAAAAAAACCCAACACTATGAGAAAAATGATAAAGGATATCAACAAGCAAATTAGAAAGGAAAAAATCCAAATAATAAGGGTTAGTAAAAGATGTTATAGCTATTAAGAATATTAAAGACATGCATAGTATTGAAAATGAAATACTGTTTTACCCATCAAATTAACAAAGGTACAGGGGGAAAATACTAATGAGAGTTCATTGGCAATGGGCATTCACATCCATTGCCAGTATGAATATAAATTTGCTACAACTTTTCCAAAGGGCAGTTGAACACCTTGTACCGACTGCTTTTAAAAGGCACAGACTTTTGACTCAACAAGTTCACTTTTTAGCGAGTTACTTATTTGGAAAGAATGAGAGATGGTGACAAAGATTTATGGATAAGGGTAAACATGAATAACCAATTTATAATAATAGAGAAAAATTGGAAATAACCTAAATGAGAATAGTTAAATAACAGATGGTAGCTTCAGTGGTATGAAATAATGCGCATGATTTTTTAAATTATGATTTAGAATACTGTTTGGACATGTAAATAAAATTAAGCAGGTTACAAGATAGAACATATATTCCAATCCTAGTTTTAGGAGAAAAATACATCTTCATAATATGAAAGTACACACAAAACCTTAACAGTAGTTATCACAAGGTGATGGCCTGGTAGTTGATTTTTTAAAATCTTTTCTGTATTTTCTAAATTTACAAAGAAGTTATTAAAATCAACATACTGGTAGCAGTGCTGCCAGCCTCCGGAGCCTCCCCACGGAGGCTCCAAACCTCATTCCGACCTTTACCAGCTGGTTAGTGAGGCCGGGTGCTCGCTTTCCGTGTGCCTACTTTCTCGGTTCCCTCGTCGATAAAAACAGGAATAACTATAATGCTTACTAAATAAATGTAGCGTGGGGATCGAGTTCCCGGCTGATGGGCATTAAGGATATAGCACCTCGCACGCGGTAACTGCTTTAACTTACGTGCTCGCTCTCATTGCGGAGGTATTATGTATCGCTTTACAACCAGAAAACAGAAGTGAGAATGACTATTTCAGACTGGCCGCTCTGTGTACAGTTCGACAGAAGAGGAAACTGTTGACCAAAATGATGTCTTAGTAAGTTTGAACTGATCCATATCTTCTCATGAAGTTGACCTTTGGGGCCACTGAAATCTGATGCTTCAGTCATCTTATGAGTCTGTTTTCCCCAAACTAAAACCCTTGAAATGTGTTTCCTTTTCTCTTTTTCAGGGAGGGGCTTTTTATTTCATGGAGCACGTAGCAGCTGAGCGTTCGACCTGGAATTACTTCTGGCAACAGGTCCTGTGCCCGGCCTGGTACCTTTTGTTTGACGGGTGCAACCTGACCAGAGAGAGCTGGAAGGCCGTGGAGAAGGCCGGCTTCTCCAGGCTGCAGCTGCAGCACCTGCAGGCCCCGCTGACCTGGGAGCTGGTGCGCCCCCACATCTACGGATATGCTGTGAAATAGCGCGAGAAATAGCGCGAGCAGGGAGTGAAGAGCTGAATGAACCGCTCGAGTGATTTAAGGCTTCAGTTTTACACTTACAATGCTAATTGGGAGAAGAGAAACCCTTTTTCAGATAAAGTTGAATTTCAGCCCCAAAAGTTCACATTTAGCCATTTACATTTACCCTATTTAGCCATTTTCTATTACCTCCCAAAAAAATCAAAAACAAAACAGCTCTGAACTTTCCCTTAAAAGGAAATCGTGAGGTTTGTCCATTGAAGTCTACCATTATCTCCAAACCTTGGTTTATTCAGTAACTTCAGAATGTTTCCAAATGTCTTATTTAAGTTGTACCCAGCAGATTTGAATTTCACCTCCTCTTTGAGAGCATGGTAAAATAAGCAGTTAAATCATGCAAAAGAAGACTTGGAAAAAGGAGAAATAAAAAGATCTTGCCCTGGCTGGTGTAGCTCAGTGGATTGAGTGCAGGCTGTGAACCAAAGGGTCGCTGATTCGATTCCCTGTCAAGGCACACGCCTGGACTGTGGGCCAGGTCCCCAGTGGGAGGTGGGCAATAGGCAACCACACAATGAAGTTTCTCTCCCTCTTTCTCCCTTCCCCTCGCTCTAAAAATAAATAAAATCTTTAAAAAAGAGATAGAGATCTTAATGACTCACAAGCTGAATAGATACACACTAGCTGAAAATCCAAATCTAAACAGCACAGATTTGTTAAATCTGAATCTCTTTGTTCTTAAGTGTCACTGGGCTGGCCCTAGTTCTGCCACCCCCGTCACACCTTTTGTTCCTCTGTCCACCCCAGTGTGTCTGCGTTCCAGTCTTCGGTCCTTAAGATGCAACTGTCAGAATTCTGTCTGACACTTCAGTATATCCATGAAACTACCTGAGACAGTTAAGGTTCTTGGGTTCATTTTCCTTATACTCTTGCATATACTTTGCCGAATGCAGTAAACCATAGGCAAGGAAGAGACCCAACTGTAATCAGGAAATATTTTTTCCTAATTAGGTATACCTAATTAGGTATAATTAGGTACACTTTGTAAGAGTCCCTAAAAACCAGCAATCTGTGAGCCTGTAAATAGACAGGTATTTTTTGGATTATTTGAATGAAACTGCCACCCCTCTCCCAAGATGATGTCTTTGTGTCTAGCAACCAAGTGCTTTCAAAACAAGTGTTGAGTTGATCAGACAGAAGGTTTAAGAGTAGGATCTTCAGCAATAATTTACATGTATTCTCATAAATTTAGTAAATTTTCTGGGATGATTTTGCAAAGGGACTACTTTAAATATCAAATCAATAAATTCATATGCGTTTTAGGAATGAAAATAAAATAAGTGGTTTATATATGTGCTGGCTTGGTTTCATTTTTCTTAATGTCTCTGGGAGGGCCTTCCTCTTGGAAAAGTTAAGCTCTTTGAACATACAGATTTTTCTTTCTCCAGCCAAGTAGCTATAAACACAGCTAGAAGATTTTAGAAAAACCAATTTTGGAAGCACCAGAACGCATTTTGAAAGGTTCAAGTCCAAAGGCCCCACTTGTGTGATCCATAGAGCTGAAGGGAGGAAGCTCACTGTTCTCTTTTGAACCTGAAAACTGCGATCATTGCAGCGAGGTCGGGACACTCACCTAAGGCCTCCTGGACACTAGAACATGAATCTCCTGTCTCTAGAGTCTCCCCAAAGTAGGAATCTCCTTAACCTTCCCACCTCACTAATATTTAGGTCAGTCTAGTGACAGAAATATGTAAAGCCACAGGTTGAGCGCTGAACCATGTGGCTCAGCTGGGCGTCATCCTGCAAACCAAAAGGCTCAGTTCCTGGCCAGGGCCCATGCCTCGGCTGTAGGTTCAGTCGGCACTGGGGCACATCTGGGAGGCAAGCAACTGATCTTTCTCTCACACTGATGTTTCTCTCCTCCTCTTTCTCCCTCCCTTCCCCTCTCTCCACACCTCCATGTCTTCCCCACCCATCTTCCTGCTCATAACTTCCAGAAGTTTGTTTATTTATTTATTGTTGTTCAGTTACAGTTGTCCCAATTTTTCCCCCATTGCTCTCCCTTGCCCTGCTCACCCCCTTATTTTTTTTTAATTAATGAATGGATTTAGACACAGAGAGAAACATGGATTTGTTGTTCCATTTAGTTATGCACTCATTGGTTCACTGTTGTCTGTGCCCTCACTGGGGATCAAACTCACAGCCTTGGTGTTCTGAGCAAACGAACTAGCCAGCCAGAGCCCTGGACACTTTAATTTGGCCATTCCCTCAACTGGAAATCATGAAGGTGTCTACTCAACATAATGCCGAGTGTAAGCTGCTCAGCTCTGCATTCAGGATCATCTGTCAACTGACACCTCAACCCTTTTGCCCTCTTTGTAGTCCAGTGGGAAAAGCATGGGGTTTGGAGTCGAAATATTCTAATCCACATCTTCTCAGGCATCTTACTAATACTGGATTTCACTTAGTATATGAGGGTAACACCTGTGTCTCCTAGGGCTCTTGTGACGATAGGATAAGATGAATACAAAAGGTGCTTTGTGAACTGTGTCATTGTGAGCATGAGCACTGGCACTTCTCACGGTACCTGCTCACGCAGCTCAAAGGCCCCGCCGCCTCAAACATTTATGAGAGTAACAGAACGAAGTGTGTTTTTCTATCAGAAAAGATTTTTCACTCCAGTAAATGTAGCCTTGAAATTTCATTTGACTGGATTATTAGGCATTATACTGTTTTCTGAGGGTTCAATATAAAGAAATCTCCCATAAAAGGTAACTGGGCAATGCTCTCTCATTTTTGCACCTAACAATAAAAAGCCCGACCCCACGGGAGATGCACTTGCTCCTGCCACTGCAAGTGACTTCCACGCCAAGTGCTGTGGATACAACATGATTTTCTGCATCCCTCCCATCTTGGCTCCCATTTTATCCGTCAAGCTGAGCAGGTACTACTCGGGCTGTTAAAAACGTAGCACTCAGTTCAAATTCTATCTCACTTCTGAGGTTATGAGAACAGATTATTAACTGTGATGCCAGAGAAAGTTTTTTCAAATGCTTTTGTCCACCAAAGCTTAGCAACAAAGAAATCTAAAAAGTTTTTTTTTAAAGCAAAGGAGGCCTTAAAATACGTATTTATTTATAAATATAAATGATGCCATCTACCACATTGCTTGCCAATGCACACAACTCCATTTGCCCGGATGTCACAGGAAATGTTGGAGAATGGGGACACTATTAATACATTGTTAACCCGTCAGCCCACATTTTTGCTATTGTGCTTTTATTTTCTTCCCTTCACCTGGGCAAGGAGCCCTTCTGGGATCCTGAGTAAAACTGTGTAAAGAAACATTGGCCTTATGCTCACAGAGCACCTGGATGACACGCAGGTCTGAAAATGTGAGGATTAGGTACCAATGCTGCGACTAAACACCAATTCTTAGTTCTTACGGGGCCACAAAAGACTCCTTAGAAGAGGTACAGAGCCTGTCACTAGAAAAGGTATACAAATAAACATACCATTCGAGAGGAAAACAGGCATACTGTCCAGGGCACCTGTCCAGGCATACTGTCATTACCTCCAAAGTGCCACATGTGGAACCGTAACTTCTGGAGTCCCATTCCTGAAACACGGCCTTCCAGCCCGTTACCCACCCGTCCAGCTCACAGACCTCCAACGCCTCCATCCTGGCTCAGTCCCTCTCAGGCTACCGGCGGACACCATCTCGGGGTCGGCTGGTTAGCATCCGCAAATCCACCTGCAGCCTTAACTTCCCTTTGCCTGTAGCATAACACACTCGGCAGGTGTTGGGAGTTAGGATGTGGGCATATCTGGGAATTGGGCGAGGAGCCATTTTTCTGCCTACTACGTCAGCTAGACCAGAAGAGAAAGAAAAGGTTAAAGTATGTCAATGATAATGGGACCCCTGGTGAGGAACAAAACCCATCTAAAATAACACAGACCAAAGTGAGAACAGTGTGGAATGACAAAATAGTTCTGGGAAGAATTGTATGAGGAATACCAAGGACCAAAGTCTAGGTTTCCGAAAGGAAATTAGGCTGCATTTTATAGGATGGTTCACGGTTGTCCCTAAAAGTCTCCCCATGCTAAAATTACAGTTCCAATTCCTGGAGCCTCCCCACGATTCCCTGGAGTCAGAATCCTTCCATGAATCTGGGGATAACTTCCTACCCTCCCCAAACTCTTCACAACTTTAAAATAATAAAACCTAACACGTAGTTTTTAAAGGATTTTCTCATGTATTTATCTTTAGAGAGAGGGGAAGGGAAGGAGAGAAATATCGATGTGCAAGAAATACATTGATAAGTTGCCTCATGCACACCCCTAACCGGGGACCTGGCCCACAATCTGGGCATGTGCCCTGACTGGGAATCAAACCAGCGACCCTTTGGTTTGCAGGCCAGCACTCAATCCACTGAGCCACACCAGCCAGGGCCATACTTTTTTAAAATATGCAAAAATGGTCCTAAACATAAAGATGTGTTCAATTTCACTCACAATACAAGAAGTGTTAATTAAAACTAATTAACATTTAGTTAATGTTAATTCGCTAAATTAACGTTTAGTTAGAGACTAAGTTTTCACATATCAGAGAGGCAAAGACTTCGAAAGCCTGACAACACATTGGTTGGGCAGGCCATGGAGACACAGACACTTCTGTACATTGCTGGTGGGAACGCAAACTCATGCAGTTCATGTGGAATCTGGCAATAGCTAACAAAACTACCTTTGACCCCACAATCTCAATTCCAGGAATTTACCCTGAAGCTGTTGGCAGCGTCGCCATGCTGGCCGCTCGGGCACACTGACTTCTGCCCAGCGCCCTGGGCCTGCGAAGCAGATGAGGAAGTGCTCCAGGAAGAGCTCAGATCTAATCTCAAGGATCAATTGAGTAAACAAAAGCTACGCTGCCAAAATTAGCTACAGTGTGGTACCTTCTCTGTAAAACAAAAGAAGGGTGAATAAGAAAACACATAGGTACCTGTTTGTTTTTGCAAATAGATACTTAGGAAGAATAAGCCAGAAACTAGTAAGAAGCAGGTAGGTAGGAGAAGAGCAGAAATAAAGGGGAGAGACGGCTGACATGTTTTCAAATATACCCTGTGTTGAGTTTTGATTTTTGGAACCATGTTTATGTTTTACACAAAATACAGCAAAGAATGTCTTACATAAAATAAAATGTAAAAAGGGGGGACCCTAAATTGGAAAAATAAAAAACATCTAACTGTATTCTAAATGAATAAGCACATTGACCCAGAAGGTGATGCAATCAACCCAAGTAGCTTTTTTCCAAGTAGTTTTATTGAGCTATAATTCACATATCATAAAACTTACCTGCAGTATACAATTCAGTAGTTTTTAGTATATTCAGAGTTTTATAACCATCACCTAAATCTATTTTTAACACATTTTTCACCACCCGCCCTTGAAAGACTCCATACCCATCAGCAGTCACTTCCTGTTTTCCTCACTGCCTCACGGCCCTCGGCAAACAGTAATCTACTGGGTCAGGCAAAAAAGCCATTTTTTTTTCTGTAAAATAAAAGATACATGTGTCTTTTTCATCAGTAATTTATGGATTTGGGTATTTCGAGTATGTTGGTTATCTCCCACATGGTATAAAATGTTGACTGTTCTCAATTAATGTCTCACTTTGATTGCTATCAAGTTCAACTGGTCCACCCAATCATGGAGCATCGTCCAGTGAGAAATCTCCAGCACGAAACTTTGCCAAGCACTTCTGACATGTTCAATCAATCACAGCACCTTCTCCATAACCACACTAATTTTTTGTGTGTGTTTTGGTTGCATTTTTACCTTTCCTGAAATAATAAAGCATAACATGCTGAAACAATGTGTATTTTCTTCCATCTTCAATATTAAAATGGCTACGCAAAAATTCACCAATTTTGGTAAGTTTTTTAATGCACAACGTTATGACAGCTGTCACAACAAAATCTAACAAAATTGTTTCAAATGAAGTTATAGATACCTAAGCGATACTAGAGCCACCTTATGGAAAAACCATATGAACTTTTTGGCCAACCCCGTACTTTCTGTCTCTATAGATTTGCCTATTGTGGACATTTCATATCAATGGAATCACACAATTCGTGTTCTTTTGTGACAGGCTTCTTTCACTTAGCATGGTTTTCAACACTCATCTAGGGTGCAGCATGTATCAGTACTTCATTTCTTTTTTGGCCAAATAATATTCCATCATATGGATCCATCATAATTACTTCACCATTTACACACAATAAATGTTTGGGTTGTTTCCACTTATTGGCAGTTGTGAATAGTGATGCTACAATATTTGTATACAAGTCTTTCT